CTTCTCTCTTGCTGTTGTCAGATGTGAAGCCTTCGAACATCCTGGTGAATTCTCGAGGAGAGATTAAGCTGTGTGATTTCGGGGTCAGCGGCCAGCTCATTGACTCCATGGCAAACTCTTTTGTGGGGACTCGGTCCTACATGTCTGTAAGTTCCTTCCAGCTTTCCTTTGGGTTTCTTTTTTACAATTTTGGTTCAACTCTGCTCTTACAGAATGGGCGTGGAGTGGCTGATTCACTCCTGGCTTTGCTCTGTGTTTCTGTCCTCAACTGGACTGCCCCGTTCCCAGTTCACGCTGGCCTCGCTGCCTGCCCTGTTCCCAGTTCACACTGGGGGTGAGCCCAGTGCTTCCAGGCACTGTCAGACACCTCCACATCCTCCTGAGGAGCTGGTGGCCAGTTGGCTCCAACCTGTGTTCCCGGACAGCTTTGGTGCACATGCAAGTGCAGAGACTTGCAAAGACATTTTGGATCCTTCACATATTTCCATATTTGATTTTGGCGAGTGTTTTTGGGTTCAAAAACATTTTCTCTTTCTGCATGCAAAGCTCTGTCCGAGAAACTGAGTGCGAAGGGGACACGGATGCCAATCCAGCATCGTCTGCTGCTGTGACCGTGTGTGCTCGCTGGTAAATCCAGTCTAGCCCAGGTGGGGTTTGGTGGAGGCTAGTGGGAAATTAAAGCCAAACTGGAGTCGGCCAGCCAGAGCGACCTGCAGGAGGAGCTGGTTGTGCCTCTCCTTGAAATGAGAATCATCATCAGTGTCAGCTCAGCCGCAGATAACACGCTGTCCGTGGCCATGAAATTACCTCCGGGCTGGCTCCGTGTCCCCACCGTGCATGGCCGTGGCTGGAACGAGCAGTGGGTCGTCATGGAAGGTGTCAGAGCAGAGTTCTGTGCCTGGGTCTGAGCTGCTCTCATATTTTGGGAATGGTTATTCCCGTACTATTATAGTTACACAGGGGCTATTTAAAAGTAGTGTCTCCTTCGTGCTCAGCCACTGGGTCTGACTCCAAGCTGCCGGTGTGGATGACTTGCATTTGATTTTTTTTTTTCTACATATTATTTTTTAAAATTATTTTTCTTTAAGAGCCCAGAGGGGATTTTCTGCTCTTTGGATTCCTCTTGGCTATTAACAGGAATGAGCAGGGGAGAAAAAAAAAATTGTTAATAAATTGAGTTGGTTAGATCTCAGCATAGGGAGAAATAGACTCCTGCGTACTCCAGACTAAATACAAGCAGCTGTAAACGCTGCTCAGCTGTAGCTGTTGATGAGATACAAGTGCTTTGTCTTTGCACCTGATCTTTCTTTTGGGACAGTCCTTTCCCTGGGAGAGCCGAGATGGAGAGACCATCAGGATATCGCATCTCATCTATTTAACGTCGGCGCGTGGTATTTCTGACTCTGCGTATCGATATTCTGGCTCGACGTGTGTTTCTGTGCTCTCTCCTTCCAGCCCGAGCGCTTGCAGGGCACCCACTACTCAGTCCAGTCCGACATCTGGAGCATGGGTCTGTCGTTAGTGGAGCTGTCGATCGGAAGGTACCCAATCCCCCCGCCAGACTCCAAGGAACTGGAAGCAATATTTGGCCGTCCCGTGGTGGACGGGGCAGAGGGAGAATCTCACAGCATCTCGCCGCGGGCCAGGCCCCCAGGACGCCCCGTCAGTGGTAGGGGCTGGCGTATGCATTGGAAAAAAAAACAAACCAAAAGCACGCAGCCGTGGGGATGAAGGGGTCGGGTTGTGTTCTGTGTGGCTGGGTTCGCCCCAGGCCATTTCGGATGAGGTTGTGGCGGGGAGGTGAGTGTTTCCAGGGAGATCCCTCTCCGCAGAGCGCACGGAGCTGCTTCGCTCCGTCAGAATCTGCTCCGCCACGGAGGTTTGTGATTCCTAACGAGCGCAGGTGAGAGTCCGGTATTGCACGGGGAGGTGGAGGTGGCTCTGGGGATGCTGTGAAGGATCAGGTTTGGAGCACCAACCGGCGTCTGAGGTTTTGAAGAGCTCGGTCCTTCCATGGGCTCCTTTAGACCCCAAGAAGGCTTAAGCCACCCAGCAGAGCACCCCGTGCTGGGGACGGTGCCAGCTGTCAGGATGTGGACCCTTGGAGATGCTTTGAGGGGCACTGGCACAGCCCCTGTTGCTCCTCAGGCTTTGCCTGTGCTGCCAACAGGTTCCTTTCAAGCTGGAGGCAGCTTTTTGGGAAGAGCTTTGCTGGGAGCTCTCCCAGAAGTACCAAACGGGCACGGGGGTTTGAAGGAGGCTCTGCTGGAGCCGTTTGCTTGGAAGCAGAACGCTCTAGAAGTGCTGCCAGCCTGCCACAGCAGATGGTCTGGTACTTTCCAAATGCTCCAAGCTAGGAAATAAATCTGGGCTATAGGCACGGCAAAAGAAATCTGAAATTTTGGAATGCGTTTTGGTTCTCTCTGCGTTATTTTTTTTTTTTATCTGCAAGCCAGTTCCCAAGTGGGTTGCCTCTGCAAAAGTCCCACAGTACATATGCTTTTTGCATGAAACGAGGCCCTTTGCTGGCCTCGAGCAGCCTCTCACCGCTGTTTTTATCATCTTAACCACGCAGGCCATGGGATGGACAGCCGGCCTGCGATGGCCATCTTTGAGCTGCTGGATTATATCGTTAACGAGGTGAGTGTTTCCTTACCGCCGGCTCTGCCGGGGCTTCCCTGAGCTACCGCAGCGTTGTGTCCCCTCTGCTGAGTCAGGGTGGGCTCCAGAACCTTTGCTTGAAGAAGGGTCCCTCTGAGCTGCACTGACGGCTTTTCCTTCCCTCTTCCCATCTCTTTGTATCGCAAAAGCGTCTCTGGTTTGGGAGTAAGGCTCTGCAGGGGGAAGTCCATAAAACCCTTGAAAGAGGAGAGTGGGGAGGGGAGCTCCTGGCTCTGATGACCTGCTTCTGCAACCGGATATTTCAGATGCGTTGCTCCCTAGATCAGCAGAGGTGGGGTTATTCGTATTTTCTCCGATGAAGCCCTTTGAGGGTGACCAGTGTGAAAATCCCAGGCTGAAATGTCCCACTGGACTTTCAAGGCAGGGTCCGTTGAGAGAGCAGCTCCCCCTTTCAGAGCCGTAGGGGCTGACCCCAAATCACCGTTTCTGGAATGGCTTCATCCGCCGTAGGCGTTGCCAGAGCTGAGATTTGCGAGGCTGGATCCAGAATTGTGACGCTGCAGTTTTGGCTTTGGCAGGGATTCAGCGCAGGGTCCCCCCTAGCTGCGCATGGTGCTGGGGCAGCAGTTTGCTGCCAGGGTCAGAACTGGCAGGGAGCAGATCCCGGACTGTGCAGGGCAGCGAGGAGGAGGAGGAG